AATTTCATTGGTCTTTCCAAATTTTGGATCAAAGATACTTAATAAACATAAAACAGCTTAGTTTTCTTGTAAGAATTCRTTTTTAAAAGCTTATGAATGTAATATCAGAAAATAGCAGACTAATCCTGAAATGTCACACGWTGGGTCTTAAAATGACAGGGATGCTTGACCAAATCGAGGGACGGACCTCTGCTGACMGAGCATTTTCAGCCACTATAAAAGCAGCAGCTTCAGGATCCACTGAGAACTGACAGGCATCTCYCCCAGGTTAGTGCTTTGTTTTCATAAACGTGACTGCTTTGCTTTAAATTCATGTCTTTCTTTTACTGTTGTTAAGTCAAGTAATAAATAAACTAGCGTACCATTATTTCAGAGAAACTACAGTTTGTGATTTTTTTCCCAAGTGCTAGACAATGTAAGGTATTTTAAATTTTGACATTTTTATGATAWTTTCTTTCTTAGCAACTTGAAGCATCAATAGATCTGAGCCACTCATTTGGAACAAACTAAGGTGATATTTTATTGCGGCTAAATATCTTGTCTATATTTTTATTGTACATCATCAGAAATGCTTAAAACTAYATAGCACAACATGAGATCTTAGCAATTTAAAAGTCATTCTGTTTTAGAATTGCCAAAGTGCCAAAATGAGCACCGACGCAGAGATGGAGCAGTATGGCCCTGCGGCCATATATCTCCGCAAGCCAGAGAGGGAAAGGATTGAGGCTCAAAACACCCCATTTGATGCCAAAACAGCCTACTTTGTTGTTGATGCTGATGAGATGTACATCAAGTGTAAACTTGTCAAGAAGGACGGTGGCAAAGTCACTGTGGAGACAACCACAGGAAAGGTAAACAATTATGATTTTTGTTGGGCATTAACAGTAATTACTATTCACCCTTTAAATTTTTACTGATATTGCTTAATGTGGAGCAAAGTTTTAGCAATACTAAAAAACACAATATTTTCTTTTTAGTCTCTCACTGTGAAAGAGGATGACATCCATCCCATGAATCCTCCAAAGTTTGACAAGATTGAGGACATGGCCATGATGACCCACCTCAATGAGCCTTGTGTGTTGTATAACCTCAAAGATCGTTTTGCGTCCTGGATGATCTATGTGAGTCCTAAACTTAACTTGAATACATAATCTAAAACAAATGTAATACATTATATTTGCTTTACAAAGGGAAGTTCTCACAGAAATGACATTAAATTAAGAGTATAATTATAAGCAGGAGTAACTGTTTTTGTCCAGACTTACTCAGGCTTGTTCTGCGTCGTCGTGAACCCCTACAAGTGGCTCCCAGTGTACGATGCTCAAGTTGTTGKGGCATACAGAGGCAAGAAGAGGATTGAGGCTCCACCCCACATCTTCTCTGTCTCTGACAATGCCTATCAGTTCATGCTCACTGGTAAGATATTTWAAACTAATAAACAGTCATGTTAATGCTACCTCATAATTTACGTTTTCATATGATACAACCAAATYAAATGTCTAATAAGACAAAAATGTTCATTTCAGATCGTGAGAACCAGTCAATCCTTATYACGTGAGTAAACACAAGTTTGTTTAGAATTTACTTACAGAAAAWAATAGAAATAAAATACACAACAAATTTATCTTACCTAGTGGAGAATCCGGTGCCGGAAAGACTGTAAACACCAAGCGTGTCATTCAGTACTTTGCAACAATTGCAATGACTGGATCAAARAAGGCAGAACCTGCTGCTGGAAAGATACAGGTATAAAGATACAAGTTATACTATTATGTCTTTATAAAATTCACATTAAATAGAAATGTTAATCTAAAATTTGTAGGGTTCACTGGAAGATCAAATCATTGCAGCCAACCCTTTGCTCGAGGCCTATGGTAATGCCAAAACTGTGAGGAATGACAACTCTTCTCGTTTTGTAAGTATTAAAGGGGTAAATATATTAAAAAGCTTTTAGAACTTTAGAAYTGTAATAAGATCAGTGTGACATGTTTTAGGGTAAATTCATCAGAATTCATTTTGGAACAAGTGGCAAACTGGCCTCGGCAGATATTGAAACATGTAAGTCTTTTATCAARCATTGTTAGGTTTGGGTTTATACTTCAAGGTTCGGTCAGTTTATATTGATGTCGGCAAATAAGTTTTATATATATATAT